TTGCTCCCTCTATCCTCACTAGTAATGCCATTTCTTGTTAGATTTTTATTTCCTGAGGAAGACACTGTGTAATTATTTGACTGAAAATGACCCATTCCTGCCCACTTTAGCTCACTCACCTTGAGTATTGTGATGTATTGCGATGTTTATACATTTAATTTCTTGTTTTACAATACCTAGCTTTCTCTGATTCATGCTACTCACATTCCATGTTCCTATAATCCGTGTTGCTCACCTTTGGACTTAACTTTCACCTCTGAACACATTAGCAGTTGAATGTTCTTTTGGCTTGAGTCGATTTGCATCATTAGCCACAGCATTACTCGTATTTGTCTTCTGCTCTATCCCTGTAGCTTGTTGAGTGCCTTCAAGACAGATGAGAAGCAAAAGTAAATGGTGACAGACATATGATCAGAATACTGAATGCAGTTGTTCAATGACTTGTACATAGGGACAAAAAGAACTATTTCAACAATCCAAAGAAGTGGAAGAACAAAAAAGTAGAACAAGAGACCTCTTCCACAAAATTCAAGCAGTCAATAAGAAATTTAAACCAAGAGTGGGATGCAAACCAACCAGGATGCTGACTGATGAACAGAGGAAGACATTATATGGTCAAGATAAAATAAAAAGAATCTAGAAGCAATATACTGAAGAGCTGTATCAAAGAGCTTAAAAATGACAATTTTATTCAAAATTTAAAAGGTGAAGAACCTACAGTTTTAAAAAGTAAAGCTGCTCTCAAACCACTTAGGAAAAATAAATCACCAGGAACAAATGGCATACGAATAGAGTTGTTTCAAGCATCACAAGTAGTTCCAAATTCTAACAAAAATTTACCAACAAATATGGAAAGCAAAACAATAACTTCCAGATTGGAAATAACATACATTCCAATTCCCAAGCAAGGAGACACCTGGTATTGCAGTAACCATCAGGTCATGGTTACTAATTTCCCATGCAAGCAAAGTAGTGGTCAGAAGTTTACAACAAATACATTACTGTATATGGAACAAGAAATGCTAGACACTTCTAGACATCTAAACTGCCTGCAGCTAAGGAAGAGGATCATATTTGGTGGAACACATCAAAGAATTTCAGAACAAAATAGGTTTGTGCTTTTCAGATTATAGCAAAGCTTTTGCTTGCATACATACATCATGAAAAAAGTAAGGATTGCTTTAAAAGAAATGGGAATACAGTACCACAAAATTTGTCCTGATGTACTCTGGACAAGAGGCCACTGGGGCAGAATACAGAGAAACAGAATGGTTTTCAGTTGGTAAGGAGGTCAGACAAGAGTGCATTTTATCATCCTATCTGTTTAATTTATACACGGAACATATATGGAAAGTAGGATTAGACTTGAGGAAGGAGGTATGAAAACCGGAGGAAGAAATATCAATGAAGACATCATTGAAAACATCAATGCTATGTGAATATGCAGACAGCACCATATTGCAAAATAAATAAGTAAAACAGCAACTTGGAACAGCTACTGATAAAAGTTAAAGAAGAAATTACAAAACAAGGGTTATAGCTGAAGATTAAGAAAACAAAAGTAATGACCACAGAAGAGGTATATAACTAAATTAGATGACAACAACATAAAATTGTTAAAAGACTTTCTAAACCTTAGCTCAATCATTAATCAAAATTCTCATTGGATGTTTTCATACACACGGCTCTAAAGCCGGCTGGAAGCTGCCTGGAAGCAAAGAAGAGCCATTCCGGCAGTGAAAACAGCAGCCGCCGGAGTGGCTCCTGATTGCTTCCGGCAGCAGCCCCTGTAATTCCTTTTTAAAAAAGGAATTAAAAAAACGGGGCTAAAGCCGGCCAGTGCCGGGGATGGCGCAGGGATGGCGCTGGATAGGGCGGGGCTTGCTGCGACGTCCTATGAACACGTGCAGCAAGACCCCGGAGGGACGCCGGCTAGCGCCAGGGATGGCGCTGGATGGGGCGGGGCTTCCTGCGACGTCGTGTGAAAAAATTGACAGTGGAGCTGGAGTGGGGCCGGAGGGAGGCCAGCTAGCGTCCTCCTAAAACCCTGTGTGAAAACGTCCATTATGTGGCCAAAGTATGATAGTCTCAACCTGATCATCTTTGCTTCCAAGGACAGCCCTGGCCTGATCTGTTCAAGAACCCATTTTTTTTGTCTTCTTGGCAAAGACATACAACTGAGCACTAAAGTCAGAATCGTCCAGGCCATTGTATTCCCAATTGGTATCCTAAGTACTCTTCTCCAGTACCATATTTCAAATGAGTTGATTTTTTTTTCTGTCTGCTTCTTTCACTGTCTAGCTCTTGCATCTGTACGTGGTAACTGGGAATACAATGGCCTGAACAATTCTGACTTTAGTGCTCAGTTGTATGTCTTTGCTCTTCAGTATCTTATCCTGTTCTTTCATAGCTTCCCTTCCCATTTTTAGTCTTCTTTCTTGACTGCAGTCTCCATTCTGGTCAATGTTTGATCCTAGATATGGGAATTCCTTAACTATTTCAATTTCCTCATCATCTAGATTGAAATTGTGTATTTCTTCTGTGGTCATTATTTTTGTTTAAATTATGTTCAGCATCAAACCTGCCTTTGCACTTTTATCTTTGACCTTTCTTATTAACTGTTCCAATTCCTGAATGTCTTCTGCTAGTATTATGGCGTCATCCACATATCTTGACCTTATCACACGGGGTCTAAAGCAGTCGCATCCCCGTCCCATTGCGCTTCCTTAATACAGAAAGCAGCATCATCCCAGTATCATTCCAGTCGTGGGAAATGTAATTCCCATTTAGACCAGGAATTCAAAAGAACGTGGATGATGCTGGATAATGCAGCATGATGCCGCATTGGGACGGGGATGCGACGGGGATGGGCGGGGTTTCTCTGCGACGTCGTGCGATCGCACGGGGAAAGGAAGTGCGATGGGACGGGGATGCGATGGGGATGCGACTGCTTTAGACCCCTGTGTGATAAGGTCCTTAGGTTGTTAATGTTGCTTCCTCCTTTATTGCAGATTCCACTTCACTTCTTAGAATTTGGGGTTCATCTTCATATGGCTCCTCATTCCAAATATCATTCATTCCCTCATCTCTTTTGCATAACTCCTCTGCATATTGCCTCCAGCATCTTTTTATTTCTTCTTGTTCCTGTATTATGTTCTTTTTTTCTCCATAGAATATTCCTGCCCTCGATTTGAACTTGGCTTTAATTTCTCGGATTTTTTGATCGAAGTCTCTCGTTCTTCCCTTTTTGTTGTTGTCTTCTATTTTTCTGCATTGGTCATTGTAGTATTTCTCCTTATCCCTGCATGTCAGACATTGGACAGTTGTGTTTGTGTTTGGTGCAATATATTTTATTTTCATATAATTAACAAACACCCAATAAAACAAACATACAGACAAACAAAACATGCCAACATATTTTATACCACATGTGTTCCTCATCTATTTTACATTCAAAACTCATTATCTTCTCTATACCTTCCTCACCTCCTCCTTTCCCCACCTTCTCATCTCCTTCTCCTCTCTCTTCTCCCTTTCTCTTCCGTCTCCTCCTCCGTCTTTCTCTCCCCATCGATCTTCCCCCTTACTTCCTTTCTTCACCTTCCTTTCCCTCAACTGTCCTCCTTAACCTCTCCTCCTATATACTCTCCTCCTCTCCATCTTTCCACACCTACTCTTACCTTCTTCATCTACCTCATTCTCTCTTACCCCTTTCACTCCAATTAACCATCCACCCCTTATTTGACTATCTACTTCTCGCAATCTCACCTAAAACTCCACTATTCACTCTTCACTTTTTTGAGTTATTTCCTCCTTACTATTTATCCATTCTTTTGTATCCCTTTTATTCACTTTTTTCACTTTCTTCTTCAACTACAGACTCTATTTCCCTCTTTTACTCTCTTATCATTTTACTCTCCTTTAACACATCTATTCCTTTGTCCTTGCTACTTTTATCTAATCTTATATAACAGTAAATTTTACCAGTTTAAAATCTTGATATCCTTTCTAATAATTCAAAATCACATTTTCTCATTGCTCCTTCATATATTTCAAAATTAATCCCCAGTCCTTATCCATCTTGTTTACTGATCTGTTTCTTAGTATTAGCATCAGACAGTTGTGTTTGTGTTTGGACAGTTGAGTTTGCTAGACCTTAGAAAAGCTGTTAATAATAAAGTCTCTCAAAGGTTTCTCATTTATATGGTCATGGTAAGTCAAAGTCACCTTGATGGTACATAACCGCAACAATAACTGCAAATTCTAAAACAAAAGAATAGGTGAATAGAACAATTCTAGAATAGCTGAGGAGATGTCTAGGAACAAGGTTGACCAAAACACCACAGGCTTGGGTCCAAAAGAGTCACATAAAGTAATCCCAAGGATCATCTAGTCCCATGTTTCACAGCCTCTGGTCCTCCAGATGTTTTGGTTTTCTACTCCCAGAATATGTCATTGTAGGCTTTGCTGGTGGTGGCTTCTGGAAGTTAAAGTACAAAAGAGTTGGCAGATTAAAAGGTTGAGAACCCCTGCCTAGTCCAACCACTTGCCTATGAGGGAATCCGTACCTAACTTAGCTCTGAGATATGGTTATCCAATCTCTGTTTAAAAATCCCCAATGAAGAATAGTCCACACTTTCCAAGGTAATTCGTTCTACTGTTGAACAACTCTTTTTGTCAGGACATTCTTCAGGATGTTTAGTTGGAATATCCTTGTAGTTTGAATCCTTTTGTTTGGGTGTTACCTCTTGGAACAACCAAAGACAACCTTGCTTCACCTTCCATATGAAAGCCCTTATGACATTTGAAGATGGCTGTCATGGCATTTCTTAACCTTCTCTGGGCTAAACATGTTGTGTGCGTCAAGTCATTTCTGACTTATGGCAACTTTAAGGCAAAACTATCATGGGGGGAGCATGATTTGTTCAGAGGAGGTTTGCCATTGCCTTCCCCTGAGGCTGACAGCATGTGTCTTGCCATAGGTCACCCAGCGGGTTTCATGGTTCAGCTGGGAATCGAATCCTGGTCTCCAAAGTCATAGTCCAGCACTCAAACCACTATGCCATGGTGGCTCTCTTTCAGGCTGAAGTACCCAACTCCAAATTATTCTTCATAGGGCTCGGTTTCCAGAAATTACCATCTGTTTCCTTATACCATCATAATCCTTTATTATTCACTCCTCATTCCTTCAGAAATGGAACATATTTGCCATAGCCATGACAAATCAGATTGCTTTGACAGAGTTCAGGAGATGTATGATATATATTAAAATTTTATTTATTGACAGGCCAATTGTACAGGACACTACTAGCACCCCCAAATGCAGCAAATTCAAAAGAGTCTAATCCACCTTTCTTAAATTGGCATTTCTGGTTTCTCACTCATTCACAACTTCAGCTTTTACCTGCATCTTTGAATAGAAATACTAGAAATTGTAGAGACAGCCCAGGCAGCAGCAATAGCTTCTAAAGACTTTGTCCCTGTTAAAACAGCTGCAGTCAAATTAACTTGAATTTCTCCAACTCTTCCACCTTAAGAGATAAAATGGGAAAGCGATTCCTCCGTGCAATATGTGAGAGATTTCCCTGAACTAAAAATCTGGAACCAACTGAGTCAGTAATCGTATGCATCCTGGCATGGAAATGAGCACTCTTGCTCTGAGGAAAAGAAGTTTATTTCCAAGGAAACATGTCCATTATTGGACTGCAAGAGCAGTGTCTTCACTGCAGTCAGTTCATACAACCAAAAGAGGGCAAGACTAGGGGTGCTCCTAATTGGAGGGTTCCTAGTGTTACCATATAAATCATACCATTCTGCAGCTATTCCATCTTTTCCTTTGTATAAGAGTTTTTAAATGGGGGAAAATACAAGAAGCAGCAGATGGGGGAGCCCTGAAGTCTTCAAATAGAACATGATATCATATGGACAGATCTCCTCGTAAAGTTCCAGGAATGAAGAAGGGCAATTGTTTGACAAAAGACTAATTTGAAAGTACCTTGGATTTCAAGGACTTCCCTCTGGAAGTTTGTGCTGATCCCTAGCATCAGTTGGAAGTGCTTTGAGGCTGGCTGGCTTTTATTTAGCCCTGATTTATAAAGAGAGAGAAATTGTTTTCAGAGAGAAAAAATGCTGCCTAGAGAGGAGAGGAAAGTCTAATTCAAAACTGTAAATGTAAATGTAAAGATTTTCAAGCCAAGTTCACATTTTCTCTAGCAGGGAACAATTCATTCCCTTTAAACTCCCCTTGGATCAAGAGGAGTAACAGCTGGTAACTGGGAGTTACTGCAAAGGAACTTGGCATGGACATGTCCGGGCTGGCATTGTGGCATCTGGAGAATGAGTTGGTCCTTCAAAGCTATTGGTATGTCCTGTAACATGAGAAACCAACCCATGGAGAATGCTGATCCAGACATCTGGGGGGCTGAGCAGCAGCTTGGAAATTTGGCTGCGTCTGTGGGTGAAGGATAGCAGTATTTCTGCTCTTTTGAACACAATCTTTCCCTAGTGCAATTCTGTCGAGGTCCGAGAAAACTTCATCACATGCAACCAGGTGTGTTTCATGTTTCCTCAGTCCCACAGGCAACCCATTTCCTTCTTCTGTATTTTGTAGTTTCAGAGCACAGAACCTGTGTCACAGCTGGGTTAATCATTAGACTGAGGAAGAAAGATAGAGCTGGCCAGGCACTTTCTACAGTACACATATCTGAAGGTACAAGCTAAGTTCTTTTTTAATTGTAATTTTTATTATTATTTTTGGTGTTACATAAAATGAGACAAACAAACAACAACAACAACAACAACAAAGGAAGGATTTTTAAAAATTCCCACAACCTGAAAAAGCAAAATGTGGGGCTCTTGGGGAGGAAAAGCAATCCGTTGCCTAAGAAATAAAAACTATCCAATCATTAAAAATCAAGGATGGGAATCATATAGGCCTATGGATGTCACTGGATGTCCAAGTCATGTAGCCCTATTGTTGCACTGCAAGTCCCAGCAGCCCTAGCCTGAATAGCCTATGGTGAGGGATGCTGAATGCTGCAGTGTGGTAGAGGGTAAGGTTTTTCTCCTACTTCGTAATCCCATTATCTGTTCTTGGGTTTCACTGATATGTTTTATCTCTATGCTGTCCCTATCATGCTGTTAATATTCTGTAGGGAAAATATACTTGAAGAATGTTTGCATGAACATTTTAAATTGGTTTCCCTCACAACTAATTTTACCATTTGTTCATGCAGTCAGAGTAAGCAAACACAGAGCAAAAAAGAGACTTCCTATTCTACCAAAAAGTGTTGGAACAATGCAATGCAATTTTTAAATCATCACACCTTACCAATTTTTCACTTTAACTACATACATATAAATGCATTTAAACCAGTGGTTGCCAACATTTTCTGTGCCTCACACCACTAAGAAATGTTTGATTAATGGTAACCCCCCCTAAAAAAGTAATATCACATTTGAAGATGAAGACATCTAATTTCTAATTTTTGAACCACAAATTGAACCACGTATAATACTGTGTGTGAACAAACTGAACTTTAAAGAACAGGTTTTTAACCTAGTCCATAAATTCAAATCTAAATTGAGCAATTGGTTGGATCCTTAGGTGGGAGTGATCATGTTCTCCTGGAGTTTATTATACAGTGGAAAGGAGAAGCCAGGCATTGTCAGACATTTTGGGTGCTCAACAATGGCTCCTTTTCAACCTGGAAGGAAGTGACCAGTTGGGTGCCACAGGGCTCTGTCTTGGGCCCAGTGCTATTCAATATCTTTA